GGGGATCCTTCCTGGTCCACATACGGACGACGGATGCTAAAAATAGCATCTTTCCAGACCCCTGACCTTATTCCAAGTGCCCCCCCAAGGTGGCATTCCTGTCCTCCCCCACCTCACTTTCCACAGCCTATCAATACAGACATCCAGATGTCCAGCTGAGCCAGCCAATCCTGACAGAGGGGTCTGTCTCCCTCCCCTTCCCCCTTTTGCAATGTGGGTCAGTCCAGAACAGCTGTCAGAGGGCCCTCCGCCCCTTGGCAGCGCACCTCCTGCCCTTGCAGTGCTTAAAATAAACACGCAACCAGGGGAAACAAATATGCACGGAGGCAACTGCAATCCAGATCCCTTGCAAGGTTTCCATCGTTGGGGCTCCTACTCTCAAAAATGGCTTTTCTGCCTCCTCTGCCTGCAATTCCTGTTCTGTCCAGATAAACGCCAGCCAGCTCCTTCCTTTTTCGCCATGGGACTTAAGGAGGAATCGGGGTAAAGGAGAGTTCCCTGCTCCTGCCCATGAGATGCCTAGTGGCACATGGAGCCATCACTCGCAAGCCCCAAGAGGACGCTTGGCCTGCCGGTAGAGCAGCTCTGCTTCAGAGCCAAAATCCTGAAATGGGGAGGAGGGTTTAATCTCCCAGGTCTCAGGCAACTGTTCAAGGCTCGAGGGGAGAACAGGTTGGTGATGTTTGCACAACACTCTTTGATTACTGAATGGTACCATTTTCTGGGTGTGTATATTACCTAATATACTAATGCACTGAGCTCAAAAAAACCCTGCCCAGCATAGCGGCTTAGCATGTCATGTAAAAGAAAGTGTGTTGTGCAAATGCCTCAGCTTAAATTTTTACCCAACCTGGGGGGAGTGCAACCGTGCAATTGAAGCTCTGCCTGATTGCGCCGTTTCCGCTGCCATTGTGACTTTTTCACACAGTCCTCTGTGGATACTGCCGCTTAGCGTGCCAGCACCTGCCCTCTGGAATAGGGTTCCCCCAGTGACCCATAGAGTTCTCATCCTGATAAAGTTCCACAAGGCACTTAAAATCTGGCTCCTCTCCCAGACTTTGGGTCAGGGTGGTGAGCGAGCCCTTGTAAGATTTTGCGTGGCACGATTTTATTCTGTTCTGCATGGTCTTTCTGGATGCGTATCATCTGTTTCTTGTTATTGTTCTGGCTTTTTTATTATGCCAGGCACCCAGAATCGTTTGGAGTCGGGTGTTTTTTAAATCCAAATAAATAAATAAATGTGCAAATGCATCAGCTTCTTTACCCAGTCTGGTTTGTGAATACAGCCACTTCAAGTGCTCTGACACTCGAGCTCACAGCACAGCCGGCCTATTCACTACTCCCCATGTGAAAGAGAAACATGTCCACATATTTGTAAATGTAGGTACTGGAGGAACAATGCAAAGAATATCAAGGCCCTGTACCTTCATTTTCAGTAGCATATTTTCCAAGCATATTTTCTCTGCTAACTAATTGCCAGGGAAGACATTACAGGCTGGAGTGAGGCGACTGAAGGTTATCACCCACTCTTTCAGCCAGAGAGACCAGGATCACTCCTCACATTGCATGTCTTGCTTGCTTGTTTCTGAATTCAGCCAATCAACTATGGCCAATATGTCAAAAAAAGACTGGGATCACTCTGATGTTTGGCTTGCATTCAAGAAATGGTAAAAAAAAAAAAATTAAAAAAAAACCCCAACCCATTTCATTCTTCTAGTGATTTTGTCGTGTTCCAATAGCATGTCAGAAATAGAAGAAATAACCTTGGTCTTCAAGATTTCATGTTAATTGTTACCAGCAATGGTTCTAGTGTCCTCAAGGAAATACTTTAAGATTCCTCCCAGATGGAACATTAATGGAAGCAGGTTAAAACCTTTAAATATCTAGGTTTTAATCTTTCAATCTTCTACCTGATAGGTTAATCAATGTATGAGCTTATTCCAAAATCACATAGAACATCCCTTGCCATCACTAAAGTATGCTAGCTCACAACCATGTCCCAGCAGCAATTAAACTTGATAAGACCAAAGTTCTGGACCAATTGTTATATTGTGCCTAGCTGTGTTTATATAAGCCGATACCTCGTATGGAGGCTATTCAAATAAAATTCCCAAATCCTTAGTCAGAGTTCCACACTTGACCCCTAACGCTCCAATACACTTAGGATTGTGCTGAATCTCCTTGGGGGCTTGTCTGAGGCTATTCTGTCCCAGATTTTGCTAAAACCAACCTTATGGGGATCCTTCCTGGTCCACATACGGAACCCTAACCTTGCTGCACAATACAATTCATCCTTGAGGAGTCAAAACAGTCGGGACCTTGCACATGTTGACCTTTCTATCCCGGAAATGCCCATCTTTGGCCCAGACAAAACCTTGAGGGAATGAAAGTTGAGGACAGGGATCAAGATATGCAAACAGGTGTAGCCAGTGTCTCACATCTTACAGCAGCTACCCCACTGTAGTTCCTCTGCCATTCCTTGTACAGTCCCCAAATATTTTAATAATATTTTGTATGCTCCACACAGGAGACTTTTCACACTGCCGTGAATGGATAGGTTACCCATCAGGATGACAATGGATAGATATCATAATCTCCTGTATGAATGCTGGATCAGTTTCCAAAATCGAATCTGCCTTACATCTGTTACTTCACTGTCTACTTTATGCTCAACAACAAATGGAACTAATGACCGCCACCATTAGATCCTTCGTTCATTTGTGGGATCGGGAGTTACGGCCACACTCTCAGTGATCTGTCTGTCAGTATCTCTAAGACAGTCTGTCATTGGCAACGGCTCTCAGAAGCTGTCTAGTTTCCATATACAGTGATACCTCGGGATACGAACTTAATCCGTTCCGTGACTCTGGGCGTATCCTGAGTTGGTCGTAA